GGGGCCCGTTCCCATTGTCGAGAGGGGGGGGGGCGAAGGAGAGCGTCTGAGTATGGGAGAAAATGGCGGCGAGGAACCGCCTACCCCTAAACCCCCACTGCGCGACCCGCCCCGTTCCCCCCGTCATGCTGGCACCGCCGCATTGAAGCTTCCCCTCCCCCTCCCGGTTATTGATGCCTCCCGAGCCGCCCGCCCGCTCTCCCCACGCTCGGTGATGCGCCGCGTGCTCCCTCTTCTTGACCCGCCCCGTCTCCTCCCCTTCTCTGTTCTCGTGGGGGGAGGAATCCGAGGGAGAAAATGGCGACTGGGATCTGCCTCCCCCTCTTCTGTATTTCTAGGCTGTGCCCCGTTCTCTACTCGGTGACTGTCCAGTCCCCCCTCCCTCGAGTTCCCCCTTCAGTTGCTCCTCCCACGCCATTTTCTTCTCCGCGTGGTGCCCTGTCTCCTTCCTATCCCTGTATACTAGATAACCCTGTCTCTGAGTGACCCATACAATGACAGTCCCTATTTTCTCCTTCCCGTGTGTTCTTATCCTAACCCTAACCTATACTCTTTATCATTCCCCACTGATTCTCTGTGCCTTCATCCTATTCTCATTATTGGTGTCCACCCTCTTTTACATTGCTGTCCTCTTTTGCTTTAATTCTGCCCTTAAAAAAAATCTGTATCATTGCCTGGCCTTCCTTTCTTGCATGCTGTGTCAGAGTCACTGGCTTACTTATGTTCCTCACCCACATAATGGGCCCTGCTCCTTTTCAACATATTTCCAGTTCTCTAACATGGCTAACAGATCTTTTACTCTCATCCCTTTTGTAATCCCCAGCACATTCTAGTTTCCCGTTTTCCTTCTAATCTGTTACATTTCCCCTCGTGGTGGCTGCTTTTCACTTCCTGTTCTGTTTCTCCATTTTTAATCATTTCATATGTCAGGTCCAAATTTACTGATCTTCTAAGCCACATAAGACAGTCTTAAGAAATTTGAAAGCCAGAGTGCACCTGACTGGGTCCCATTGAAGCCTTGAGATATCCTTCCCTGTTTAAATAGAAGCCTGTACCCCAGGGCTGGGCATGCGGCCCTGGGGGCCTGATCCGGCCTGCAAGGCTACATCTGGCTGCTTTCTATTTATATCCTGCTGCCCATGCCACTGAATTTCCAGGAGGTGGCTCAGACAGCAGGATTCTATTTAAATGGCTCACACCTCCTAGTCACAGTGCTATTCGAGCCACAAGCCCTTGTAAATAGTTGCAACTACCCTGGGTAGCTGCCAGGCAACAAGGTAGCAGCAAAGCTCGGAGCCAGAAGCCCTTTGCTATGTTTTTAATTCACTGTCTCCGGTCCCAGACAATTTTGGGAGGAAGCTAGTCCCCAGGCCCACTCCTTCCTCCATATGCCTCTTCTGGGAGTGAAACCAGCCCATGAACATGTACCAAATTCATTAAATGGCCCCAGTGTGAAAATTATTGCCCTTCCCTGCCCCGCCATCCTGCTCCAAGAGGGAGATCCTGAGCGGCCCCCCCTTTTTTTTCCTGGTAGGTGATGGGTGGAGGATGCTCTATGACTTATGCTTTTTAACTGTAAAGAGCCACATGTGACTTACAATCAGTTTGGCCAACCATATCCTATATAGTTACGCATTCATTTGAACATACTACTTTGCACTAAGTTATTAGCCTGATAGTCATTCTCCCCTTATTGACATAAACCTATAGTTCACATACTCCCCAATCTCCCACTATAGTTCCTTTCTTACAGACTATGCCTCTTTATAAGATACTTTTCTGTTTTGTACTTTCAAAGTCTGGAAATGTATTAAAAGCAGTTTATTAGAATCTGTGCCTCTTTTGAATACTGAATATTATATGTTCGCATACTATAGTCATAGGTTTAGAGAGTAGACCCAGGCCTTCCAAAAGATAAAGATTTCCATGCATGCCTAACTAATGAAAATGGGGCCTTAAGTGGTTTGCCTGAGTTCACCTAGGAAATATGTGGCAGTTTAGATTGAGAATACAGTTTAGATATTCTTACTAGGGATGCAATAGTATAGTCAATTAACTGATAACCAAAAGCTTATAAGTTAATGCTAATAGACTTCATGCATTTCCCTCTTCCCACCCTGGCCAGTAAATTTTTTAGCAGGCTGGCTAGCAGCCCAGCTCAGTTCTGGCTAACACTGGGTCCAGAACCTACTCCAGCTGCGGTTCTGCATTTAAAGTGTATAAGGAGGCACGTAGGCAGCCTGGCTCAATTCCAGCTCATGCTGCGTCCAGGAGCTCAGATCCACCTTGGGTCGCTGCCACCTTCTTCTGCTGCTTTATCAGAGGCAGCAGCACTGGGCAAGAGGCAGCTGGTCCACAAAAGGACCTGTTTTTTAAACTGGCTCCCCTTGTGGACCAGCTCCCACCAGATCCTGCACTGCTGCCTCTGTTAGAGCAGCTGCTGTCCCCATCTCCAGGGCCTATAGAATAGTTGACTAACTGATAAGTCATGAGGTTACTTGACTATTCAGTTAACTGATATTTAACATCCATAATTCTTATCTAAATGTGGCTTAACTGCAATACTATTTTTTATAATACCTTGAAACATAGTAGGAAAAGTGTGTAATTATAGCTCTGTACTACTTTGTTAGCACTTGTCTACTTTGATTTCCAGGTCACAGACAAAGTAACAGTACATAAAAGTGAGGGAAGTTTTTTCCAGATAATGCTGTACACGTTTTATGACATTAATTGAAAGCTTCTATTTAAATGAATGTAAAAATGTTTAGTTTGTTTTGATAAATTTAAATTTTAGACCAACCTGTATATTTTGTGCTTCCCCAAAATATGCTAGTTGTTAGGGATGTAAGTGACTTGTCGACTATCTGATAAGCATAAGTTTATTGGATAGTCTATAGTTTATTGGAGATGGGGGAGGGGACAGGAGGAGCACAGGAGCGGATGCTGGGGGAAGCCAGTTTAAAAGCTGGTTCCCCTCAGCACCGTATCTGTGAGGGGGCAGGGAAGGTAGAGGTGCACCAGGAGTGAGACTGAATTAGTCTCCCCTTGTGCCCCTTCTGAAGTGATTCTGCTTTTGAAATGTACAAGAGCCCTGCTACATTTCAAAAGCAGAAGCCCCACAGGGAGTGCAGGGCCAGCAGGAGACACCTCTGCTGCTCTGTGCTCCCTGCGGGCTTCCTTTGGAAAGGCTGAGGTGCTGCAGGAAGCGTGAGGCCAGCAGAAGTCCAGGCAGGGCTCTTGTTACAGTTTATAAGGGCACCTCCGCTTTTGGACTAATCGAGTAGTCGATGGAAATCCCATTGACTATTGAATCAGTTAATCTAAATTTAACATCTCTTCTGGGTGTATCAAAAAGCAACTAAAAACTGATGCCAGGTCTGTGCTATAAAGTTATACTGATATACTGAACAAGTCATACCCCTGAGTGCAGTAGTTACACCACCCAAACCCCCACGGACAGTGCTGTGTCAATGAATGGGATTCTCTCATTAACATAGCTACTGAGTCTTGAAGAGATGGGCTAACTGCACTGAGAGGAGAAATGCTCCCTTCAATGTAGTGGTGTTTTAGTAGAGAAAACGGTACTGCAGTGCAGCTCCTGCTAATGCAGCACATTAAATGTAGACCTGCCCTGAATCCTTGTTCTGATGAGGTTACAAACTGAGACCATACACAAATGAAGGGAATGGATCAAACAGAAGGGAGATGAAGGACTAGGGTGATATGAAATTCTGCAGTTGTTCAGACAGGCTATATTGACTTTTCTGCCCCTTTATGTTGGCTTCAAAGCAGTAATGAGTTTTAGGAGAGATTTAAATAAGATGAAGGACAAAGTTTTGCGAAAGGGTACGGAGACTATTCCTGTAAGGGCAACGGATCCTGTATAATATTTTATCACAATATATGTCTTCTCTCCAGAATGCCTAAATCAAAGGAACTTGTGTCTTCAAGCTCATCTGCCAGTGATTCAGATAGTGAAGTTGACAAAAAGGTGAGTATTGGATACAATTGCTTACTGCATTTTAGTCTAGAAATGAAAGAAACCCACCAAAATTATTCTGTTTTGAATTAGGAGGCAGTTCTGTTGGCATATGTATATCATGCTATTTGTTTTGCTTAGCTCTTTTGTTAAAACTGGGATCAGTGATTGGTGGGTGACGTGCTTGTAAATATGGAATCTATCTTTTTAAGATTGGTTGGCTTTGCCTCCTTTGGCATTTCACTTGGGGCATCTTAATGACAAGGTTCTTGGAGTTCTGTGGATCTCTGAGAGAAGAATACTAAACCGTTCACATACTCCATTAACATTTCTTTTCTTTCTAACCTGGTGAAGAAGTGATGTTGAGAACCATGATTGTTTAGTTTCTGAAGCGTATTGAGTTGAACATGCTGGGCTAACTTGATTCTAGTGAGCATTCTGCATTTGAAATGCTGACTGAAGTTTTCTTTGTTTATGATAATACAGTATTTTGATGTGTATTCTGTAGTCCATTTTGGATACTAATACTGTGGAAACATGAAGATCCTAGAGTACTGTGTGTAAATTAGTAACAAAATAGTAAAATCAGACAAAAGAGAGGGGATAATTCTTTCCATCCTTCCCTCTCCCTTGAATTAGGGAAATTTAAAATGCAAGATGAGTATGTATACAAAAAAAATATACTGTCCAAATAACTTTTAAGATAATCTTTGGGTTCCAAAAGATTATTTAAGTCCCACATGTACTCCTTTTTTGAAATAGCCAGTATTTTTTCCTCCTGGCTCTAGGCAATTTTAGTGCAAGGTAAAACTTTAAGGATAAGGTCAACAAAAGTGTTTGTTCTTGGTTTATATCTGTTCCTGTTGGAGCCACTGAGGTATGTTGACACCAGCGTTACTTTATTAAGCTGAAGTTGTGTACCTTAGGCTCACCTTCCCACCGTAATTCAGGATTTTGGAGACTTACATTTATGGTGAGATGCACTGTATAATATAGTAGTTCTTAGCAGCTTTAATGTCTCCTTTTTAATAACCAATAAAATGGGGTGTCTTATTTCTGTTTTAAAATTTTTTGTTAAAGGCAAAGAGGAAAAAGCAAGCAGCTCCAGAAAAACCTGTGAAGAAACAAAAGACTGGTGAAACTTCTAAAGGTGCAGCTTCCTCTAAGCAAAGCAGCAACAGAGATGAGAATATGTTTCAGGTAATATTGATAATGCTAGGTCTAGAGCTGTTAGATTTAAGGATTCCTAAGGAAACATTTTATCATTTGTATTTATCCTGTTATGTTTATGAAGAGAACTTTGAACACTTTGTTTTCTTACCCAGGGATAGCATAGTATTCAATCCCTTGGAATGTTTTGGCTAAATGTTGTTACAGTGTTAGAGTGAAAAGCCTAGTTTGCACCACTGTGGGCCATCAATCTAAGTTACACAACTTCAGCTATCTGAATAACATAGCTGAAGTCAACATATTTAGGTCTGCTTACTGTAAGTTGTCAGCTGACGCTATCCATTGCCTCTGTTCATTCTTGTAATGGTGGAGTATAGTAATCGCTGGTAGAGTGCTTAGTGATTGATTTGTCATGTCTGTATTATACATGATAAATCAATCCTTGCTGGCTTGATCGCTTCCCATAGATCCAACCTGTAGTGAAGACAATACCAAAGTGAGATGTTCAGAAAAAGTAATGATATTTATTAGAGTAAAATAAACCATACTGTGCCATTCAATTCTAATTTTAGTTCATTGATTGTATCGGTTATTCCCAGTACAGGCAGTCCCCGGGTTACGTACAAGATAGGGACTGTAGGTTTGTTCTTAAGTTGAATTTGTATGTAAGTCGGAACTGGTACATATTGTAGGGGAAACTCTAGCCAAACATTTCTCCAGAGCTCAGTTTTATTCTCCCACACCTCACTTCCCTCAGGGTATTATTCTCAAACTGAGGTGTCTGCTGAGAAAAGCTGCTCCGCATCTCCCTGGTCTGCTGGGGG